TAGCAGAATGGACTATGGCTCTATAAAAATACTTTCTATGATGACGAGACACCTGTAAAATCAAATGAATGAATCCGGAACAAACTTTTTAATTAATATTTAGTACGACATTCTAAATAGAGAAAGCAAATTTATCACATCAGATTTAGAGTTACGACATTTTTTTTATACAATTGCCAAATGCTCTCCAAAAATCTCGCTTTTGGATGGGAATTTTAAGATCTCAGTGTGAGGTATGTCAGTGTCTGATAAGAACTAAATACATGTCACAATATAAGTTGTTCATGGCCAACAGGCAGATATTTAATCTGAATAATAAAGAGTAACTCATGGAGAAATCTTATGCCTTCTGCTTTCCATGAACACGATCCACCGAGAACCTTTCTCTGTAGTCTTTCTTTAGACAAAATTCTCACAATAGAAATCGGGGAAGATCCTAATCTCAAGCATTCAGGAACTGCATAAAAAGCTGTTATCATCCTGCCATTCTACTTTATCTATTTATCTATCCATCTGTCTATTTATCACGCTCGTTCCGCCCAATTCTCCTTCTCCCCAAGGACGGGTATCGGTCCTGCCACGACCCCTATGCACGCGAAAACAATATCGTATCTCAGGAGTCAGTAGGCTTACTGTACCTCTACACCAAGGTCTATCTATACAGGACCTTGCCTCTACATCTCCTTTCGGTTTTCTTGTGTAGATATCGGAGGGCCTCGTCTACTTTTTGTCTATTTTTTTTCACTCAGTATCAACGCCTTGTGGATTCGGTCGATTTTGGGTCAATATTTGGATATTTTTAATTGTATGACGTTGTTTTTTCAGGTTTCTCTCCTTTTCTTTGCGTATGTCTGTGTCTCACTTCGGTTGCACATTGTGGAAACTCAACTGTCATTTTCTCCTCTATTAATTTTAAATTAGATTATATTATTATCCTGTTCTCATGCCTTTCAACGGCTTCCTTCTATTCCATAGCTTAGTGAATCCGTACCTTAACCTGCATTGTTTGATCAAGGCCATAACCGCTCCCAACTTTTAACACCGTGGCACACCTACACGATGGTAAAAATCACTGATGATAAGAACGTAGTTTGTGGCATATCCGGATCTCATTTTTATTCTATGTTCCTCTTCCTAATCCACTGTTCCGCCAATCCCATTATAGAAGAAATATAACACAAGAACTAGTTATTCTAAGACCATATGTTAAGCTTTATATCTAAATGACTTCGCTTGCTCCCGATGCTGGTTTTTATGACTAGTTACAACAAGTCTCATAATGTTTTGAATTACAAACTGACAGTTTCTCTCTCTCTCTCTCTCTCTCTCTCTCTCTCTCTCTCTCTCTCTCTCTCTCTCTCTCTCTCTCACTCTCTCTCTCTCTCTCTCTCTCTCTCTCTCTCTCTCTCTCTCTCTCTCTCTCTCTCTCTCTCTCTCTCTCTCTCTCTCTCTCTCTCTCTCTCTCTCTCTCTCTCTCTCTCTCTCTCTCTCTCTCTCTCTCTCTCTCTTTCCCTCTGTATACATTTGGGATGTATACAAACCCAGTAATCCAACATGACGGACGTACAAAAAAACAGTGAAAAGGGTCGAGAGCGCAATTTTTAACAAACCGTTAATCATTAGACCAAAGAAGTTGATATTCGTTAAAAATGAATCTCCCCAAAAAGCGAAAATATTTGAGAGAATTTAAAAAAGTCCCAGAGAATGCAAGACAGTTTGCTTATAGACTTCACATCAGTCATGGTTTGGAGGTCCATGCCAAGATCACCCCGAATTTAGAAGCTCCTCCAGGCACGTAAAACGAAAGAAAATATTGACGTTGAGTTTAGGAGCATCTCTAGGCACCCGAAAACTGCAAAGACTACAATGACGCTGCGTTTAAAAAAAAAAAATCTTCGGACACACAGAAATGAAAAACATGGCGCTGAGTTTAGAAGCACCGCTAGGCACTGACGCAGAGTTTATATATACGCCAGGCACTGAAAACGAAGAAAAAAAACAAAAAAACAACGGCGCTGAGTTTAGAAGCAACTCCAGGCACTTAAAACAAAAGAGGAAAATATTGACGCAGAGTTTATGTATACGCCAAGCACTTAAAACGTAAAACAAAAACATTGGCGCTGAGTTTAGAAGCAACGCCAAGTACTTAAAACGAGAAAATACAATGATTCTGGGTTTAGAAGCAAGTGATGATGATAGTGATGAACCCAAAATGAGAGAATACAACAATACTCACTTTAGAAGCAGATGATGATAATGATGATGAGATGATGGTGGTGGTAGTGATTGTGGTGATGATGATGACGATAATGATGATGATGATGATGAACCCAAAATGAAAAGAAAATACAATGGTGCTGAGATTTTAAACATCTCCAGGCACCCAAAACCCGAAAGAAAAAAATGGTCTATTATTATTATTATTATTATATATATATTTTTTACATAGGTGTTTTAATCGTATCACAGAATTGAAAGCAGAAGTGGAGTGTCTTATATATAATTATATTATTACCGGACGGGATGTTATCGAAGATTGTGATGGAATTGGGAAAAGGAAAATCAACATTTAATTTCATGAAATAATGACAATAATGAATATGATGCTAATAAA